CCTCGCCCGGTCGCTCCCCTCGCGCGCCCATTTTGGCCGGCCCATGAGCGGCGGCGGGGCGCCCCCTATTTCCTTGTTTCTTCTTTTTTGTTTTTTTCTTCCTTTTTGTTTTTTCTTATTTAAATAATTCAGGATTTGAAAATAGTTCCAAAATTCAAAAAATGGGAATTTGAAAAAGTTCATGGAGCCAAAAATATCCCTGAATTTGAATAATGTTCACAAATTTGAAAAATGTCTGTGATTTCACAAAATGTTCGCGAATCAGGATATTGCTGACCATTTTTTTATCAGATGAACAAATTATGAACAAATTCTCAATCCAAGAACATTTTTTCAAAATCGATGAACTTTTGAAAAATTAATGAACATTTTTTGAATTTGATTTACCTTTAAAAAAATCATGGTAAACAAGTTTTGAATATGATGAACATTTTTTGTGTTGATGAACATTTTGTTTGAAAAAATGGATGAACAAATTTTGAGTTTGATGACCATTTTCTGAGATCGATGAACAAATTTCGAATTTGATGATTTTTTTAATGATGAAAAAATTTCGAATTTGATGACTTTTTTAATGATGAACAAATTTCCAATTTGATGAACAGTTCTATTTCGATTAACGAGTTGAATTTTATGAACGTTTTTTAAATCCCAATGAATAAAAATGAATTTATTGATTTTTTTGGAGTTGATGAACATTTTTTTGAATAGGATGAACAAAAAAGTGTTCGCTAATTTGAAAATAAAATTCGCAAAAAAGTGGAAAGTTGAGGAAGTAAAAATAGTAAAAAAAAGTAAAGAAGAAGTTGAAAAAAAATGAAAAAATGAAAAGAAAAGTAGGAGAAAAGGACAGGAATAAAACATAAAATGGGCCAGCCCATACGACATCGAGCGCCTAAGGGGGGGGGGGGGTACGCGCGTGGTTGCTCGGCGGCACCCTACGCACCGAATAGGAAGCGCCGATGGAGCATGGTGCGGTGTTGCGGTTGAAGGAAAAATATAGAAGAAGGACATGAAGGAAAAGGGGATAGCACAGACAAAAGGGAGAGCATAATGTTCTAATTTAATAGCATTTTAAGAGAGTATCTTGGCAATTTATGTTGTGATTTTAGTGGCACTTTAGTTGTGTAAACTATTGGTTTGAT